TTTTATTTGAAATTATTAGAAGATATTAGATGTTGGTCTGGAATTGCAATATTAGATGAAAATTATTCTCAAAACCTAGGAAAGAAAGAGAAATTAATGCTGTAAACAACATTTATTCAAAAACAGTTGTATATGTCCACATTTTTATGACATCCAAGCTATTATTCATCATATAGTTGTTTCTTTGGTGTCTAGTAATACTATCTATAATGCTAATAAATGCTTAAATTTACCAATAACAACTTTATTGAAAAAAAAATGTCTACATAGTCGTGTCTAGTCAGTTTTGATCGTGGTCTGTTCAACAACATATAAAATAGCGTCATTATTTACTGTAAAGTGAAAAGAATGAAGTTAACGCTCATCAAGCATATTCACTTTTGGCTAGGCCTCCAAAATGTTAGCTGCTAAAATGTATTCAACATTAAATAGATAATCAGCAATTACAACAGTTGAGCAAGAGTAATAACTAAGAAGAGTGTGGATGTGTGTGGGTATCTACTTTTCATAATAACACCCATACTCATACCCCACATCCTTTCTATGTCGTTATATAGAAAAATGTGTGGTGTGTTGCATGGAATGTTATATAGGAAATCTATTTTTTATCAGATTTCAATATTCTGATAAGTCATATATTTTTTCAGAAACATTATAGTAACTGTAGATGATACGACCAAATATCGGGAAGCTATGTCTGGCCAAGACAACCTATATCAAGTTTGTTTAAGGTTATTGTAAATGAATTTTGTCTGATTTTTCAGTAATGTATATCTAACAATACCCTCACTAGCGTTTTTAGTACGTAAAACTTTGGCATTTTATCATGTTCTGTAACGGCTGACCTCTATAACGTTTTAAATTATTTGATACTGCTACTGAGAGCAAAGATAACCAACTGTTCAACTCTCTAATAAATTATGATGTGAATGTAGGCCTAGAGTGCAATTATAGGTATAGATGGACAGAAAATTCATACGCACAACAACACACTCTGGCTCATACATTATCAAACGATTATTCTTATTCTTGGATAAAAACGACTATTATATGAGTACTGCTTATGAATCATACGCTATCATGAAGATATTTGCTTCGCAAAAAAATCAGGCACATCAGGTTATTTTAATCTTCAATATTTTATTGAATCTGAAACATTATTTATTGACAAAGCTGAGAAATTTAAATTTTTTAAAAAATGCGAAAGATCACATGCATTGCGTATTATCGATGGATTGCTAAGTACTGTTCTGTGGTAAATGCTCTCCTAGGAAAAATCTAGTATCGATGGATAGATACGCTGGACAAAGTTAAGCATGAGTTGAGGTACCCAGTGTAAGCCATTTTCATTTGGTACTGCACTTCTGTTACTGAAATATTTCAAAAGTGGAATGTAGCGCGCGATTGTATAAATCCATCGAACTGGTGTCATGCTAAGCTGAGCCAACGCATGACTATGTATGTGACTGAAACAACTGGTTGCAACATTATTTAGTAGTAGCGTTCCTATATATAGAAAAGAAACCGTAATGCGGCAAACTCTGAGAACGGCAAAGTAGTCTTACCAGATGTTGTCAACGGGGCAAAATAGCCTGTTTTGATTTCTACGGACACTCGAATAACTAGTGATCTCATTAGAATTCCGCTATACGATAAGACATAGAGCGCGTCACGGCCGGCTTTCACGTACTCAGCTGGTATGTATGTGACCATGCCTGTGTTTGAGACAACAAGGATTAGATGCTTCCCAGTTAAACTGATACTGTGATTCGATTCCGTTTGCAGCGTATAAAATACAGCTAAACAAATGATGAGAAACCAAATAAAGTATTAATTACAAATTCGATGAATTTCAACAAGTCTACTTTTAGCGTAGGCATTCTGATCAAGCATAAACATCATCTCAGTTGTCACTACATTGGAACCATAAAAAGCTAAAAGCTTGTCTCCAGTACGTAATTGTCTGATGTTTTGTCGATGGCCATTGTTCAAATGTAACCAACTATCTCCCGAGAAACATTTTGGAATGGGGAAAATAGTGACTTCAGCTGCAAAAGAATCAGGCATCTCAATCTCTAATATATAACTTCTATATCTTACGACAAAAACCAATGCAGACTATTTTTTCGGTTTTGTTTGAACCATTTCCACTAGCCTTAATATCAGTTGAGGCAGCAGTAATATTAGCAGGAACCACCAAAAATTGGGATAGAATAACACCTATTAATATAATAATCGAAAGCATTTCTTCTTTTTTTCTGCAAATATGTTCTGTGCTCGTTTTCAGTCAGTTGTTTCTCTTTTTTTTTTTATAAAGAAACAATAGTTGGAAATTTCTCTTCTAGAATTTGGAAAAAACATTTAGCGACTATCGATTCTAATCAAATGACGTTTGAAAAGCCACTTTAACTCTCGGAACAGCTTGCCGAGGCCTTATTTCCTTTCTGTGAAGTCATTGGAAAATTACACAATAAAAACATAGGACCGCTGACTTTTCAACTTTTCTTTTTTGATATTGCTCATACATAATTTGTGCATTAGAGCATTGGTATTTTGTTATTGTTGAACTTATTTAGCATGCAACATGCAAACGGAAAACATGAAAAGCAGGTGACACTGTTTTTTCCTTCTACAATGTTACTACATTGTTGTGCAATAGAAGTAAACGTTTCTTCTTCCTCCCATGAAAATTTCACAGAGTTTTGTGCATTTCATTTAATCTTTATGGAGACCAACCCTGCACACTGTTGATTATTTTTAAATTTTGTTTGTAGAAAATCAATTTTGAATAAGTTAAAAAATTTTCAAACGTTTATTATTCATTCTTCTAATTTTGAGTATTCAGAAAACACTTGGTTTTCTAAATTGTGGATATTCAATTCACTGTTCGAAAAAATTCGTTTTTTTAAAAATGAAAAAACAACATTAATTAGAAAAAAACGGTCGACAATCAATTTCAATTTGGAGAAAGTCGATTAAAATAATTGATTACGATATTAGACTGGTTACATATAATTAGTACTATTAAATAATGTCAATAGTAATCAAATACAAAGATCTTTCATTTCTAAATTTAATGACTCGCTCGTTCGCTTTCCTACATGATTTAAATTGAATAAACAACAGAGCAGATTTGCATATGAATCATGATTTAGAGTGTGGGTACATATATGGGTAAGTGTAGGTATGAGTGTTGTTCTTCGCCGTATCTACACCCAAATCCACAACCGGTTTTTGCCGGTCTGAAGCTATTTTTAGACCGCTTACAACTCTGCAGTACGAGCTCGATTATTTCCTCGTTCACAAGTCATATGTGGTTGAGGATATTCAGTGATTTCAAGTGAAACATAAGATTTGACTAACAGCAGAATTGATTAATGATGAAACTTGATTAATTATAATTGACATTGCTCAAATTTTAATAGGCAAGAAAAAAAAATGATGATCAAATGCGTGTGGGTGTGGGCTGTGGACTTGTAGATATGATTGTAAAAAACCAAAGGCGCAACACAATCGATTTTCCAGCATCCAATTTTTGCTGCATTTTCGGCAGTCTTCAAACAAAAGCGAAGAATGTCGATATCGGTGTAGATGTGGTTGTGGATTTCAGCGTGAAGTGTGAAACGATGTTGGTGAAAATGAGACTTTACATATTCTACCTTGTCCTACTCTTACACTCCCCATTCCGTTTCCACTCCACTCTCACTTGCATCGTGCCCTGATGTCAATCATATTTTACTATTGTCGTTATAAAATTGAGTGTCTGCATCTAACTTTCGATTTGTTTTTTTTGAGCATTAAATTATCCGATTCCATTGTCATTTTTTCTGGTCTTTACTCTGAAAGAAAACACGTACACGTGTTTTATATATGTTTCTTCTTTGCAGCAAGCGTATTTAAAGCGTTTTCTACTGCGATGAAAAAAAAAATGAACAGAAGGATGTAGGCATAAGTCTTTTCTTTACCCTCACCCACTATATAATTATGTTTGTCAAGACATATCTTGATATTCAATTTGACTTTGAAACATCCACGATAATATTCGAAATAAACTTCTTCATACAAGTAACACGAAGAAGGGATATAAAATTATCGAATGTTCATTGTCTTTCCTCGATATCCTTACATATGCGAGTTTATTCGTCATTGAAAGTAAAAAGCGAAAAAAGTTATATGATAAAATAGATAAAAAAAAGCTCGTTGTATTATTCAAATGAAAGCGAACAATCAACTTCTATTAAATTAGCTATTGAATCAGTAAAAAAAATAAATTCTTTGATGTTAATAGTGTTCTGTTTCTCTATATATGTTCTCAATTTTTTTCTTGCCTTGTTGTCTAAAAGTTGGTAGAGAATAATTTATAAATTGATATCACTTCAGATTTTTAAATTGAGAGGAGTTTATCAAAAACATAAAATGGAAACAATTGGGCACATCAACACCCATCTTCCATATGGTTCTCAAAGCGTCATTCATTGATAATAATGTTTCAATCAGAGCAAAGTTCCTATGCAAAAGTTAGATGTTCGGCAAAACATTTAGTTGACTTCGAAATCAACGGCGTGCAGAACTCCCCTAAAATTCCATATTAAAAGAGAAAACCACACGACAGAAACGTGAATAGACGAGAAAATTTTCGATCGAATTTCCTGTAATTAGTTGATGCTGAATTTGAATTTATTTTTTGTATGTCGACATATCCAAGAGCTTCCCATGTAGTCGATTTTTGGAAGGGCGTGAACATTTGGAAAAAAGGGACTCTTGAAAAAAGCTGTTCAGAAGACTTGAACATCCACAACTCCGATAGCAGGCGATGCAGATATTGTTGCATGACTTCTCTGATATGCACGGTGTTTTTTTATATCTTGTTATCTTTAAAAGAAACACTGGCTGAAGAGATAATAAGGATGGATGGCCACTTTTTTGCTAAGAACAATAAAAATTGAATGTTGTCATTGCTTGGAGATAACAAGAGCAAAATTTTCATATACTTGTGAAAGATGAAGACTTTTTTCTGCTTACTATATCTCTCGTTTTGGTTTCTGCCGTTAACAATCGATTCATTTCGTTTGATAGCTGTTGGTCATCGTCAATCAATTGAAGCATCTGTGAACTATACGACATGGTTTAACCAGTTCAATCGTACTGATTTATATGAATTACGATCGCATGAACCAACACTCATTGTTTTTGGTGAACTCACTGGGCTCACATCAGCCTTTATTGGAACACGTGGTCAAATTGCTCGAATACAAATTGGAACAGTTCAAAATGCATTCGCGTTGATGATGAAATCCTACGAGAAACAAATTACATCTTACTTGAATAAGTATCCGACGATTTCCATCACCAATGCTTTTGAACTATCGTTGAGCGATGTCATGTGGAGAGCGTTTAACCAAACGTTTTCATCATTGGCTCGGTTACTAAATGCTACCATTATTTCAGCTACATTTGGTCCGCGAATTATTCGATCTACAGATCCAGAAGATATTGAATTATATGGTGATCCAGACCTTTATCCTAACCAAACAGAAGTTTATCTACCATTAACAAAAGAAATTTATAATACGGCTCATGTATATGCACCAAATGGCAGTCTGATTGCTAGCCGTGATAAGTGTCATCTGACTCCAGCAGAGATTGAGTTGTTACAGTTTACTCCAGGAGAACTCGAAAATAATACGGTCATAAAACCAAATAATTGGTGTATAGCCATCTGTCTAGATGCTTTTTATTTGGATGTTTTGTTACATCTTGATTCTCAGAATTGTACTATGCTCATTCAACCATCATTTAATGATCAAATGTGGGCAGCAAATTTATCTTCTCAGTCTCCGATCTGGGTACCACTTGATTGGACAAATGGTCCGTTGGCTCTATTCGACAAGACACAAAATATCCAATTTTCAATAAATCCAATGGTTACTGGAAACTTATTCAGTGATATGATTGTTGATGGGCAATCCACAATAAATCAGCGTCTACCGCGAGAAATAATAGAACTGAACAAACAGGATAAATTGTATATTGGTTTGGATCCTGTCGATATGCAGAATATTACTAGGTTTCAAACGTTGGTACTGGCTAGATGGGCACGAGATGATCCGAGAGGGAAAAATTGGACAAAACAAGAAAGACGGAAGCTATTATATCAATATGCTTTGGAATTGGCTCCTAATTCAAAATCAATAAATGAAAATAAATATGCTGACACTGTTATATGGGCCGATGTGACGTTGTAGAAAAAATTTCTTACATCTAGTATTTACAATAATCCATCAAAAGTAAAATGACAACTTTTCAAGCATGTATTTGCTTCTGCTCTTCCACTTATGATGTGTTCTATAATTTATTATTTTTAATGTAATTTGAAGTTAACAAACATTAGTTTGAGAGTATGTGTGAGTTTATGGGTCTTTTCGATACCAACATCTGACACCCACGACCCATTGTCACTGTTGTTTTTCAAGCATTGTTAAGTAACAAAAGCAATTCTTTCAAAAGCACAGAACGAATTGAAGGGAACTCGCTGAATGAAGAAGATGCCGAGATGGCGAAGTAATGTTTAATATTTCCACGCTTTGTTTCTCAGTCTCTTTGTTTTAAGCACGAATAATGAACCGTCCTCAATTACCATAAACTTTCTGAAATGATGCTCAAAGCTTAAAAGTAGTTACTTTCTTAGTTTTCTCTTTTTAGATGCCTACATTGAATACTTAAACTTGAGCTTCAGTCAGCTTTGTTAGAATTTTCATGCAACATTCTAGTTTTATTCCGAATTTTATCAAATTGTAACACTACTACTATCTTGACAATATCTCATCCTTTGCAAAATATCAGTATTTTCCAACGTTATGTTTCTACTATTTCACTCAACAGATTGAATACAGTAAAGTTTCGGTGTACTACAATAGACAAGTCGATTTATTATGGTTCAACAAATTTCCGATGTATCCATTTTCAACCAGTAAACATCCGATGGCCAAGAACGAAAAGCATTAGTTTCATTTAGGACATTACACATATCCGAAGTTGCAATATATCCACGTTTAATAAAAAAGTTTAAAACATTATGCATACGGTCTCTATAATGTGGAACAGGATCCCATTCCATTAAAACGATAGGTATGTTAACGTAATCAAATGTTTTACTGCCAGTTTCACAAAGAAATGTCTCGGACCACTGGATGTCAACTTTCATTACAGCGTTTCGAATGTTTTTCTTCTTTAATATAGGAAGAACATCGTCAAATTGTATCGTTGTCACGACATACGGGTCGATATTTGAGTGGTTCATAATGCTACTCACAATAATTGCCTGCGAGCCAACATTATATGGATCGGACTTCATCTGTAAGTATTTACCCGATTCAGAGAAGATAGCATTACCAATAACCACAACGTTGTCTTGAAGCTTTTCAATTTGAACAGCCTTACGAATCCGATCTAGATTAGGCTTGAAGCACTCTATCGACAAAACAAATCTTCCAAACGAAGCCGCAAACATGGTATACGCACCAAGGTTTGCTCCAACATCAATGAAACTCATTTGAGGATACCGAATAAGAAGACCCAACAATTGTATAAGATATCGTTCTTCCCATATTCTATTTTGTAGAATTTCATTACTTACTGCATCTCTCGTATCATGGAGACAGATAGTTGTTCGAACAATATGGAGAAGATACTTGGTTTTAATACAAGTGAAATTTTCTTTGATATGTTCTTGTAGATCAATTATATTCACTTGATTAGAGAGGCTCTTTTCTAGAGGAACAATTGGTTTCTTCTTTTGAAGATTCAAGGTCGGAAGCCTTATAAGCCAATAACTGATACTAAGAAAGACTATCATGAGTAGAAAAAGTAAAAGTTTGTAATGTCTTAGATGAAATATTATAAATAGAGAAATTTCCATCACGAACTTGAGTTTTGATGAAGTTCTACGTTTGTATCTTCTTCAACAATGTGAAATAATCGTTCATTCGAACCAAATAAAGAGAAACATCCTTGCATATATGTAACGATAGTAATAAATTCAAATAGAACAGATAATTTTAATTAGTGATTATCTCCATTTAGATAAACTAATCTAAAAAATAACCGTATTATTAGATAATATAAATATCAAGTTATTTGATAGTCTTGTTGTTTTATTTCCAGTAAAAGAATTCAATTCATGCACATATATTAATTGTTTTTGTCAACCATTACTAACCAACGCTTCCATATGGTCAAAGTTAAACCGCAAGCATGAACAAGCGAAATCATGAAAGATTCACAGCAGTAAGATGCACTTTGATTTTCTATTAATTACTTTCACTGTAAAATTCGAAGGTCATATTCTCGATTAGAATAACAAGAAGGTAATGATTATAAAGAAAAAAAATCAAGGACAAGTGAAGCATATTTGCGATTTTAGGGCACATATTAGTTTGTTTTTGCGTTAGACTAAACCAAACGTAAGAGATTTTTGAAAAAATGAACATAATGTTGCATTATTGTACCATAATAAAGCAATAGATTTGATTATATGACGAGTAACGTTCATTCGATGCAGATTCACTTGATTTATACTGAAAATGTACAGAATATCATCATACGAAACGTTTTTGAGAACTGCGTGCATAATTACCACTTCTGGTTCGCTACATTATTTCTTCCAAAGATTCTGGGTTCTCTCTTGTCGTCAATCAACCGATATAAACATATCGAACAGTTATTTTCAAATGGCTAAATTTAATTCACGTGAATCAGATATGAATGATCAATATTCAATGTTTGAAGTACATCACCAAAATTATTCTCAACAAACAATGCGTGATGATAAAAGTGATATAGGACAATGAGAAGGTCTTCTTCAATTTACTAACACAAAACTCTCACATGTTGCGTGAGTTCTAACAATTTATTGAATTTACATGAACTTATAGTACATAACAATTCGTCCAGCAGATGTAGCATGGACAAATTAATCAAGTTCAACAGCGAATTCCATCTATTTTAAATATTAAAAGAAATACTCAGCATAAATCATCAACTCCGAAACGTGACCGATCGCTCGATGATAGCGATATTTTGGTAGGTCCATGAATTCAGTGCTTAAACAATGGAAGATTAATAATACAATTACACCTAACAACAGTAATGTTCCTTTAAAACTACTATGTTCTAATATAGAAGAAGGAGATACACAGGCACTCAACGTTATTGAATTAATATACAAAATAGAAGCCTTCATATGTATAGTCACTGAAGTGGGCGAGCTATGGAGCATAAATAAACTACCAGATTTCAATACATTTTATCAAAATGGTACTAATCACAGTGATGCATCAGTATAGCAGTAGAAAAACATCTCAAAGCAATGCGTACCCAGATAGATATACCAAATACAGTAGTTATTGATATTACAGGACTTTCAGAAACAATATATACAATATGTATTTTTACCGGTAACATCAAATTGATCAAAACGCTCGATAAGTAATATAGATTTATTGTTCTCAAGTATGACAACTATTTGATATGTAATGAAAGCAAAAAGAGTTATACAGATCAGCATTATCTGATCATATGATCGAGGAATTGAAAGAAGTGATAAAAATAAATAATAAATATTATCATCTACGTCAAAGATACATCTTGTGTAAACAAACGAGAGTACTTCAACGAGTCTTGCTAAGAGAAATTTAAAAAAAATAGAAAAGTATAAAGCGACTCAATGGCAATATCTTTCTAGTTAGAACTCAACAGACGCACGATAGTAAGGCTAAGATGGTTTGGTCATAGCTGCTTCGTATCTATAAATCACGTATACGATCATTTTATAAATTATTGAATACTAATAAAATACTATCAGAATAGAACGAAATTATGGGTATGAGTGTGGATGTGGGTGATGTCAATGCGAGTGTAAGTGAGGGTACTCTCTTCATCAACACTCAAATACCTACACCCACACGTTTTTCCGAGTTATTTCTGATTTCATTCAAAAAAACTATCATTGGTTTCTGATTTTGAAAAAAACTTCTGAAGTTTAAGTCTTTGATCTGGCAACCGTCTTTATAAGCATAATCTAAAAAAGTTCATTCATCTAATATTCGATTGTATTGATACTTCTCTTTGTAATGTTTTGTTTCTTTCTTACTTTGACTATACATGCCGTAGCTTACTTTTTAACTTAATTGATATTTTTGTGTTTATATACAATGTAGAAACGATGTACGAGCCATTCAATCATCTACATTCAACTGTATAGACACTTGAAAAGAGTCGAATGAATTATAGAGGGTACCAATATTTTACAACAAGTACGTATAATGTTCAATTCCTGTTTTACGTAGATCTTTTCGATCATATAGGAATTATTTCCGGATCATAAAACAAGATTATTAATCTTTTCTGACAGCATATTTAGATCCGAAAATGAAAAAAATGTTCAGAAAACAGTGTTGAATCTTTTAGGTTGGATTAGAAGAGCCGTGCATTCCATTTCGCCTTTCGAACTTTTCAGAAAGAAGAAGGGAGCATGTTCTCATATACAAATGAGTTTACTAAATATGTTACAAGTATTCATCATTGTCTTAGAGAAAATTAGCTAATCTCTCATCATATCAAACCACTTTTCCAGAAAATCGATTAGTCGCCGTGATTTTCTCCTAATGTTGTTGCTTTCTTACTTTCAGTTTACGAATGGTCCTTGTAATTGTCTATGAGCGCAGTGAGTTATTGCAGATATACTTGAATATGAATATGTAAATTTTTATCAAGAGACTTTTTATTTTTCGTCATATTTTCAATTAAGAGACCACCCATGTGTTCGATTACGATTAAACTGTGATGCAGTTACGTCGTAACAACATCACTGTTGCTAACTGAGACGACATGTACAAGATTTTCATTTTGTTAATATTTTATTATGAACTACTAATAATTTTTGTGATTTTCCAAAAGACTTAACCAAAATTAATCATAAAAAAATAAACAACAATTTAAACAATTCAAAAACATTTAATTAAAAAAATATAAATAATTAATCAAAATTTGACATCGAATTTTAATTCGCATTTCTAAAAATCACGGAAGCTTCGTCTCGGTTTCAAAAACACCGCATTTCAACTGTATATTTTATCGGTTGTATCTGAATGAAATACGAACCACCCGTTCACTGAGACTTTCTTTTATACGATCGCTCTGGGGTTGAGCCTTGGTGCTAGAGTGTGTAGGTATGGAGAGAGAAAGAATCACCCACACCCAACTGAAGGCATTATTAAAAAAAAGTAGCGTGATATTTGGTTGCTTTTAATAGCAACTTGTATACAGATGAAATTTTTCCTTCATTCTTTTTACCATGGAGCTTTTTTCGTTCTCATCATCGTCTATTTGACATGCACATACAGAGTGCTGTGTTTCTTTAGGATGTGGGTGTGGGTGTGGGTGTGAGTGTTGGTATAGATAAAGAGGAGACGCAGGTCAACGCCTACATTACATCCTCACTCACACCCTCAAGTTGTATTTTTGTACGTAAGTAAATATAGTGAAAGCATGCAAAATTATTTATGAAGAGAAAATTTTCAGACGTATTGCATTTGTGGGTTTTTTGTCTGTCCTCTAAGAAACAAAATTTATCTCTTGGTGAGTCAATAGCTGCGTGAGTCAGAATAATGTTCTTATCTGTGACGTTAATGGGATCTTTCACATAATGCTATCTAAAACAGCAATGACTTTACTTTGACAAAAGACGTGCGCCGTATGGATTCTCTTAACTGTCCTCTTACATGTGATATTTTTCGTGATCCCGTCATTGGACAAGATGGTCACACATATGAGCGAAAGGATATTATTGCTTGGTTACAACGACATGGAACAAGTCCGATTACTCGGGAACCTATGAATATTGAATCGCTACGTCCAAACCACGTTGTGCACAAGATAGTCGACGAATTTGCAGCAATTTATAAGAAGAAGGACTATCAATTTCGTCTCAACGTTGACGTTCGCAAAACGGAAACACGACCCTGGTTTCAAACATTCAGTAAAGCAATCTACAAAGCCGAATGGGTCGGTAGACAAGGTCCACCAATTGTTCTAATTAAAATCGATGGTGCAAAGGCCAATCATGAAGCTTTGTTTTATGTCCAACTCACTTGTCATCCACATATTGTTCGCACATTTGGTCTTGTTGAAAGTGACATGAATTCTGTCATGCTCGTGCAGGAGTGTGCAGAACAAGGCAATCTTGTCAAATTGTTACGAGAGAATAATTTCAAACCAATTAGAAATGTTCTCGTCGAAATATTTATTCAGATTATTGATGCGATGATTTGCCTTGCTGATAATAAAATAGTTCATGGAGATTTGGCCTGTCGAAATGTTCTTGTCTTCCGATGTAACCCAATTGTTCCAGAAGAAAACCTCGTCAAATTGACTGATTTTGGTCTCACTCAAGGCAGCAATATTTTTTCTGTGGCTGCTAGTTCGTCAAAAACAACTATGACAATTATTCCGGTCAGGTACGCTGCACCAGAATTACTTCGAACAAATGGCGATAAAATGTTTTATTCAGAAAAATCTGATGTGTATTCTATGGCTGTGTTAATGTGGGAAGCGTGTTCCTATGGAACACTTCCTTTTGTCTCATTAACTAATGATACTGATGTTCGTCGCTGCAAATTACGTGGTGATCAATTACCTCGGCCGACGATCTGTGACGAAGACCTTTGGTCGGCTATCGTCCATTGCTGGAGACTAGAACCATCTGAACGACCAACATTCAAGGAACTAAGACGTAAAATAATGCATTTAGCCCATGGATCAAATTCAACGTAAGACCATTATTATTTTTTTCTGTATTTACTATACAAAGCATCTTGCTTAGAGCATTCAAACCCATTTTAGTAATTTTTTTTGGAGATATTCTTCTACATCATACAAGAGTTCTAACTTGTGTGAGCTTTAGTCTTGCATTCACAATAAAGAAATATTCTGATACAGACGGGAAATATGCATAAGTATATGTCGGAGTTGACTTTAAGATAGATTTTAAAGTCAACTCCGACACATATTTCCTACTCTGTTGCAGCTTGAGTGTGACTGCATGTTTATCATAAGATTAGGAAGCTTCTCTATTTCTTGGCATCATTCCAATAAAAGTTTTATCTTGTTTATCCATATTGTTTCAGACTAGTTCTACAAAACCAAATAATGGCAACAACAACACAAGCGGCTCTTGCTTCGAAATGCAGAAAGGAGCAACATCGAGGTTACAGTTTCTTATTTAAAACAAACTACTAAGGTAACTCATCTGTTCGAGACTGACGTTTGACAGATTGGAGACAAAAAAGAAGTACCTTCTTGTCTCTCCATAAAACAGGCATCTTCAAAAAAAAATCTTTTGAATCATACTATTGATTTAGAATCTTTTTTTTCTTTCTTGCAGAATTTATCATTATCTACGATTTATCGAATAACGACGAGAAGTTCGCTTCCTATATTCAAAACAACCCAATTTGGGGTCAATCGTCATTTTAGTGATTTTCTTGAAGTGCATGGTAAACTCATTGTCAAATATCTTTCTGAAGGCATAATCATCCCGGGTTTACCGGAAAATGACTCAAGTATCGTACCGAAAGATATCATTGAGCAACAGCGAGCTCAGCTTGAACGTTATCTGAATCGTCTCGTTCGAAATAAGACACTTGTTTGTGATCTCGATTTTTTGATGTTCATCGAACTACCTGAAGAACTGCCGAAGATGACAAATAGTCTTTGGCGAAATCTCCTGTCTACGTCGATAATAAAAACAAAAAAAGGTGACTGGTTCGATGAAAAACAGGTGAGTTTAGTAATCTTGAAAATAATAAAAGCTATTTGAAGAAGCTCTCAACTATAGATCAAATGGTGATTTTGATTTTTATCACATCATGTATAAGCATGAAATATGAAAAAATTCTATCAATTAGACAATTGCAGGCGTAAAAAGGAAGAAAGGTTTAAAGGAGAAATGAGATGAGTTTTTCCTATTTTCTGCTTAACGGAGAATAAAATTTGTTTATTCTTGAATGACAAACATTTGATTAATAATCAAGAGTATAGTCGAAGTATTTTGCATAGTTGACAGTTTTTCATTTATTATGCCTTCTCATCACTTCGCACGTCGTTTCTCAGCAATACGTGGGATGCGAGATAAAAATCATAAGAAAAAATTTTTCAACATATGAATTCAAATGACACTCTTCTCATAAATGAAGTATCTTCTCGTTATGACTGACAATGTTTTTGTTTCTTCAGAAATACATTATTGATCTACAAGCTGATCTGAAAAAATTAAAGTTTCACTTCGATTATTTATACAAGATGCGAAACGAGTCAAGTGTAACACTTGACAAGCTTGCTTTGCAACTGAGTATTTTAGCCACGTGTGAAGACCATTCACTTCTTAGTTCGACTTTCATCGAGCTGGCCAATGTTCAAGAGAAACTCGACCAGATCAATTCGGATTTCACTCAACAAGAATTTTCATTAATGAATGAGCTACTTAATGAGTATATCTTACATCTCGATATGGCGAAGTGTGCCTTCAATGAACGGGCAAAACTCCATAAATGCTGGTTACTTAATACCGAAACGCTTCAAAAGAAGTTTCTTGAAAAGGTAGGAAATATTTCTAGAGTTTATGATTGTATATGTATTGAAGTGCTTCGTGCACATTCAATCTGTTCGAACGAGTTTTCGGAATTTATTATCGAGTAATAAATGATACATTTATTTAGTATGATTGACGAAGCATTTTTGAGTAAAACATTTAAATTTAGGATATGCACAAGTGCCTTTCTTATTTATTTTTCCACGTAAGATAGAATAGAAAGTTGATGTGAAGTAGAAAATATGTATGCCAAATAATACAAGAAGAATTTTAATCTTTGAGAAAAAGATCAAACATGTATTATTCAATTACTTATCATGATAATCTTCATTCATCAGAAGGACTATTTAATAAACTCTAAAAAGAAAAATAGATGAATACATATCTTGTTTTTCAGGAACCTCATGTTGAAATGGAAGTGCAGAATTTACGAGCAAAAGTTGTAAACGACATGGAAAATTTCGAACGAATTTCAACGACACTCAAGCAAGAATTTGAAATGTTCGAGGAAAATCGAATGGAAGAATTTAAGACTAATATTAATGCGTACATAGAACAAATGTTGGAACAACAAGAGAAAGTACTCAAAATATGGGAAGCCTTTTTACCAATAGCAAACAGTCTTACTCTGACTGCTTGACGTCAAACGTTTTTTCTGTTCAATACATAACTATTCAGATTATACGAGAATCTATGATGTAATTTTGTATAATATCATACTGAAATAAACCAAAGATATCTTAATTTTAACTGCAACAAAGCGCTTCAACTGCAGTAAAGTCTATTGAGATACTAAATGCAAGAATGAAAATATATAAAAGATGAGTGGCGGCAAGGCCATTTTCTATCTTCCATTGTTCTTGCATAAAAACCATCTGAACTTAGCAAGTCGACTATGGGCAATATTTTGTACCATTCAATTTCGTGCAATTCGTCCAACTGATTTTTTTGACCTGGAGCTTCCTCCTCAGGAATTGGTCGAATGTGGGTGAGTGTAGTGTATGAACGAAGTCCGACCCACACCCACACAACTACGCTCACCCTCACACCCACCCCACTTTAATTTATATTCTTACAAGACAAGATATTATTTCATGATATGTTGTTGTAAAGATCAACTCTAGTGCTGAAACCTTGTATAGATGAATTCAGTTGAAAATAGTTCAATGTTAATATATAAATAAATTTTTTCTCAAGATTCACAGCTGAAACACGGTTTATACTTTGAAATATGCTTTTTTATAACGGTATACTTATAGCTCAACTGATTACTCCCGTTCGAAATGCTCATGAGACCTGGGTTGCTTGAAATATACCTTAGATGAATCCCTATATGAATTCATCTAAACTATAATTCAAGGAACCACAAACTAAAGAACATAATTGTTTTCTATAATGACACAGCTCAGATTCGCAACAGATCGAGGATTTTTCAACAAACACGATCCTAGTTAATCTGTTCGGTCATTATTAATTCCGTAACTCACGGAAATAGCTTCAAAAAACATTCATATTTATATATTGCTTTTTTAGGTTTTTCAAAGACAACAATGTTATATTTCTGCCATTAACACGATAAAAAGAAGTCGAGTATCGATTAAGTGATTGCTAAACTTCGAATCTTTAATTTTTTCATTCAATTGTTGCAGAAACGTCAAATGTTGCTTTTCGATTAATGATCCACAGTAAAGTTGATCTTTAGCAAAAGTTTAGCTGAAAAAACACAGCTTTGGTTGTATTGATGTACCACTTTTGACTATTTTGATAGGAGCATGCAAACTTGCTCTCAGTGAGTTTTATCAGAGAAAAAAAGGTATACCTTATAATATATCTTTCAACTGGTCTAGATCGGTTATAACTGTTATAAACTCAGTTCAAAAATCTAATGCAGAAAAAATGCATTAAACCTCTTGAACGCTCATATCTAAACAAGATCATAGTCAATAGTAACAGTGGCTAATAGAAAGATCGGCCATGACTTTTAGTTAAGATAATCGAAATTTTTTTTTTTCTCATTTCGGAAAACATTCTATTACGACGTATCTACCAAAGTACTTGACACATTTGGTATATTTCTAAAAATTATTTCTCATTATCCAATTTTTTATGAGTTTTTATTTTCTTGTTTAATGTGAGAAGTAGTTTAGGCAGATTGTAGTCTCGAAATAATTAAAAATTCTAAAAATTTTTAATATGAATTATGATATAGCGATTGAGAGCATCACCATTTCTCATCTATGTCAAAATATCAAATGATACACCGCCTTTATTGATTACATGTTCTAATAAAACAGGAACAGTTTATTCATCATATCAAGATTAACTGATTGATGTTCCACGTTGAGCAATATTGGAGAAATCGATATTTTTGAGAATCCGCGAAACAAATAGAGCAACTTGATCATCATATTCTCTTCTTTTCTTAAATTGAAAGTTAACAAAAGACTTAATCCTATAAAGCAACTTCATGTTTGTAAGAATTAAAAATTCGGAAAATCCACTTGTTCTGAGGAAAAGAACAAGCAGTCATACGACGCTGTGCCTTATTTAGAATATAATTCTTGGTTTGAGAAATGCTTCTAACTTCCTGATATCCAGTTTTACAAACTAGAAGAACTGATAATATCATTTCTTGTCAGTGATCATTTTTGGTTAATGGTTTCAACATTCGATCATTTAACTTCATGCTTGATAATATTTAATGATAATAGTGAAAAATGTAAAAATCAACTTGAACTTTTACTTTTTTGTACATCTCGTTTATCGTTCGTAGGCTTTGAAAGCGGCTTGAAGACGATTCTATAGAAAACCTCTCATCAGAAACCAAGAATACGTCATTAGAAGAGCTCCATCTAGAGAAGGATACTACGTATCATACAATGAGGAGAAATGTGTTCGAGTCAGACATTCAGCTCTTGTTGTACAATTTAAAAAAAACTTCACATATGTGTAAAAAATCGAATATCAAGATATTATCTAGCTAAAATAATGCACCATTGAAGATGACGACGACAAGCAAAACTATACAGAAGATGAACTTGTCAAGTGGTGACTAAAGCAATTATCAGCTGTACAGCCATCTATGAAAATATCGATAGAAAACTAATAGACTTCTTTCGTTATTCTCACTTGTAGGTGCTCACTTATCAATATTTTTGTTTCATAGTTATATTTTCTACTCATT